TGTCATAAGCGCCGGCTGTGTCAAGCAAGATTGAAGGTGTCTGAGTTAAAGTAATGGACATCTAATCATATCTTTGTTAATCTACCCGCGACAGCCTTACCTAACAAACGTATGGACAATGAGCAACTTTGTTGAAAGCTAACCACTGGTCAGTAATTATGAGTATATTCATCCTCTATCAATATGATGACCCCCACTTGCCCACACAGCTACACGGTTTATCAATAGCCCTGTGTTGGGGAACTGTGGTGTCTCATTACTGATCATTAATGACTTCAAATATACCTGTCAAGGGAGAGAGAGTAGTCATGATAACAAGACGAATCAATAACCATTCGATACCTATATTGATGTCAGACCTTAAAGACAAATGTTTACCTAAACACGAAAAGGATCCCTTTGGGTATTCATATTCGTATCCTGGGACATGGGTGGCCCAGTTGTCTAAGACACCGCAATTCGTTGCGTAGCTTTGAGTCTGTTAGGCGTTCCAGCAACTTTATATCGTGTGTCCGAATCCCAAAATATATTTTTTAGGTTCGTCAGCGCCATACCCGTGCTCGTGGGATCAACGAAAGTGATAAAACATGTTAGACGCGAGGTGGCAAAACTGAAATACAATTAAAACGGTGCTAAAACAAACATACTCTTATATTCGTATCTCTGTCTCAATAGACGTTTGATCAAAGGAAATCGAGAAATGCACGAGCTATACTCAATGTAAAATTCAAGTGATGACACCAGGTGTTTCAAAACAGGTGAGTATGCTCTATTTTACCTGTAATGCATTTTGGCAGCTACCATTGTTACCTCAGTTAAACGTATGTGAGTGAGTGAGTATGGTTTTACGCCGCTTTTAGTAATATTCCAGCAATATCACGGCGGGGGACACCAGAAATAGGCTTCACACATTGTACCCATTTCGGGAATCGAACCCGGGTCTTCGGCGTGACGAGCGAACGCTTTAACCACTAGGCTACCCGACCGCCCCTAAAACGTATGTGGAAGTACGAAATCATTATCTGTGTAAGTCTTTTACTTCTACTTTTCTTCTTTGTTTTTTTATATAAATAATTAAATACTGCATATTTCTTCTAAGTATGTCATAGTGTCTCATAACTCACAGTATTGCTTGAGTCCCCTATTTCCTCTATTTCTTTCTGTATTTGTGCGTGTGACACATTAATGAACATTTTGCAAAAACTGCTGAATCCAGTTCAGGGATAAGCAATAGAGGATAGATACCTGTATATCAACTTCTTAATGGGAAGTCCATTTCTCTTTACAAAAACACACTGACAAGACAACACAGTACTAAATGGCCATGCCTTAGGCCATTGTGCACTTAGTGCCACTTGGAACATAACGACCCCTTGCCTGTCTCTCCGTATTAGCTTCATGGATTCTTCATCATGTTTAATGACCCAAACAAGCCACATGAAAGAACATTTAACAAGGTGCAGTGTAAAATCAGCATAACATACGGTCTCAATGTCCATTGGTACACTGAGTATAGAGTCTCTGTGTAGTGATCATATAGATTTTCTGCAATCTCAACACAGGGTCATGCGACGTAATTAAGTGTATTATTGCAAACTAATGATGAAACCATTCTACCCTTACGTTGAAAGAATCGTATTTCATGATGGTCACAATTTTATTGTCTGTCACCGAGGCAAAAACAACTTATTTATGTCATCTAAAGTAAAATATGTTACTAATTAGACGAAATTAAGCAACGTTGGTCTCGGAGAGAAGGTGGATGGAGAACCGTGTCCCTAAGGCTTCGGTCCGGCTCCAGACTGAAGCACACGTGGCATGTTACATATGGTATCTCGTTAGACAAGTGACTTTGTTCGTAATATGCTTTCCATTCGACTCCTAAGAAGTTGTTTGATCAAAGTAGCAACATTCAAGGGACCATTTTATGGTGGAGGGCATTTCCAAATTTGACGCATTAGTGATAAAATTGGTATCCGATACCATCCCCTATTTTGACTTGTATCATATGTTCGTGGGGTTTTTAGGTGAACAATTGACATGCCTTTGCATGTGTTTCTAACGGGTGCCACCGGTGAGGCAGGATACACTCACCTTTTCGCGAACACATTGTATCATCACTATTTGATAGATTCATAAATGTTTGCTCACGATACTGTCCGACTCTGCTTTCGGCAGAGATTCCTCGTGAATATAGAAAGGGTCTTGTCGCTTTTATCTACCCAGCAGTGAATGGGTAACCGACAGGATGAGATGGTAATTTAATGGGAATTTAAGCATTCTAGCGCCTCAGACTGAAACACAGTAGGCATGTTACATGTGGTGTCTCTTTAGGCAAGTGACTTTGTTCGTGATATGTGTTTCTTACCCTGCAGTGAATGGATAACCGGTAGGATGAGATTAATCACTGTCTGATCCAGATTCGATTGTGTACAGGCACGTTAACTAGAATATAGCCGAGTGCGGCGTTACACAACGACCTACCATATTAATACAATCTTGTATTACTGACAGGGTTATTTCGAGTATGAAAGAACAAATTTGTATGTCTTTGCACAATGTTTCGCCACCATGATATAGATGGATAATGATTATTGCACCAAACAACATTCATCCCGCGAAGGGAAACACTTAAGCTAAAGGTTTGCACGAGATACTTTGAATGCATATTCATTTCAAGACTGGGCGGATAGTTTGCAACTGAAATGCAACCAGGAAACTTTAATAACTACCACAGTGTTGTTAACATGTTCGGTGCGTGTTGTTATTTTGATGTTTGCTGTGAGTATAACTTAACCCAAGGTACCCAATGACCAGTTGACTATTACCGACAACGTCAGTAACATTTTAGCTGTTCGCAGTCTACTCTGTGACATTGTAACAATCATACGAGGCTCGTACGTGTCATGCAATCTTGCAATGAATTTCGGATTCACATGTCCTCTCTGACAAAGTGCAATATATTCCGATATACACACCATTTGAACCGTGTGGATCAAGTCAGAGATGAACAATTAAGCAATTGGCCTGTGCATGGTAACACGTAATTAAATGGTATATGTGAAACTGTTGCATGCATGTTTACACTTAAATACCAATTTGGCAAACACGCATATCAGTTGCCAACCATATGTAGCTATTTAGACTCGAGACGCAATCAGCTGGAACTATTTAATGTGTGGGTGTCCTTTGGTACATCATTTGATACCTTCATTTGTTGGCTATTTGACATTGCCTGCTTCTAAAATACATGTTGATAATGTGGGAAAAAACGTCAAGCAAAAAAAGGGTTATGATCATGATCTGATATCGTTCAATAACGCTCAAATAGTCAAGTTCCTTCCACTGTTTTTAACATGAAATATACATTTAAAAAATTAGTGAAACCACCTCATCTGGGGTTTTTTCTATTTTTATCTATGTGTAAAGATTCAGAGTGACAAAAAAACTATCCCCAAGATTGTGAGAAAAGAGGGAGCACTTAAACTTTCCAATGGTCAGCTTTCCCTTAATGTCGAGCAATATTCCTAGAGCTCAAGTCCTTGGCGTCTACATTTCACAACTTTTGAGGTACAATCGAGTATGCTTTTTCTCCGATGGTTTCAAAGAGCGTCATATTCTTGCTCAAAAGTTGTTTAGCAGTGATTCATAAACACATGCTTATGATATAGTCGGAATCGAGGCCCGGGTTCGAATCCTCACATACACATAATGTGTGAAGCCTATTTGTGATGTCACAGTCGAGATATTAATGGAATTTTACTAAATGTGGCGTAAAACCAAACTCGATCGCTCAATTTTTCATTCACACAGTAAGCATACAAACCATATCAAATCATATGTGCGAGTTGTGAAGAGCTCTCAGTCACATCGTCAGTCAGAAGTAAAGTACTCTTAAACGGGTAACACGATATTTTACCGACTTGGTGCAAACTTAAATGCAATTGCAAATGCAATTATAAATCTATTTGGGAAAATAAGATTAATCTGGCTTTAACCTTGTGTTGAAGATTGGAACATTAAGTAAGAGATTTATGTAATAAACATACGTAGCCATGTTAGAAGGCTTAAAGCTTAGATTGTCTCCGACATGTTGTTGTTTCAACTGTAGCGTGGTTAAGAATCTTTATTGTCACACCATAGAGATTTCAATATTTCGAAATTATGAATAAGTATGTGTAATAGTAAGGACAACATAACACATTGACCTTATGGTCATTAAAGGTCATAAATCACATTGCTACTGGGTCAAACAGTACAGTTATACACTTATATTTCGTATGATATATGCCAGTTTAATCATATTTTATGACGCGTGTACTCAAACATCAATGCGAGCACTTGGAGGTCATTGCGGGAGATCTACAGTACACACTAACAGTTGGGATTTACGATCTGGCCAATTCAAATAACATTCGCTGTCAAATTATTGAATCATGTGGTGTCTCGGGTTTCTCTTAGGTTTCAGAACATGCATGCTCTCAAACCACAATCCATAGTCCAAGAAAAGGAAAACGCTGGATATAGACGTATAAATAACCTTAAATAAACCGTTCTACGTCGGTGTAATCTCCGGCTTTTGTTGCGGTTTCTGCCGATAAACCCATATAATTATACGCACCAGAAAATCGACACGAACACAAGCCATTATAAACACTTTGAAATTATGGTATGTTCAACGTGGTTGAAATTAACTTTATTATTCGTTAAAAAATAAGGTTTTAGTATTTTATCTTTAACAGTGTTTACACCCGCAAACTCACCACTCCTTGAAGTATTGCGTTTGAAATAGACATCCTGTGTACAGTTCGTGCGTATGTCAGGAGTACGATGTCACCCCCGCGACGTTCATGTATCAAATATCATTACTTTTCCCGTTCACAGCACGTGCTTTGAATTCACTGTTCCGTACCCAGTGAGTATGTCCGACAAGCAAATACAGGATTACGACAAGGGGTGGGTCTATGCCCCTATTATTTTGCCGACGTGATTTTAACGCAAGATTGATGTAAGCAAATAACAGACGCTTGACAGTAGTGTACTAAACATACCCTTAACAAGAAATCCTCTTACAGTACAAAAGAGAGCAACATGTGCTTAAAACACACAGAGCTGGATTAGCCGGCGAGTATTATGTTGTGTTGTTCAGTCAACTAACGCAAGTTGATCAGCTTCAACCGTCCCTGTGGACAGACAGGTAAGACAACTTTGTATCATTCTGATTACTTTGAACAATTCTCATTGTAGGTAAGGTAAGTCTGTCTTTCACTTTGACATGTTGAGTTGTAATGCTTGGTGAAAAGGTACGGTTTACACAATACCTCTCTGTATGTGAGGAACAATGTGTGAAGCCCATTTCTGGTGTCCCCCGCCGTGATATTGCTGGAATATTGCTAAAAGCGGCGTAAAACCATACTCACTCACTCACTCTGTATGTGAATGTAGTTTACAGCAACACACGTAAGCAGCAGTGGTGATATCATACATTATACATATACGCCGTTAGTCGAAAACCACAGTCATATCAAGATATGTACATACGTACATTAATTACGTATATCATATTTACAGATACACCGTTAGTCGTAAACCAGTCATATCAAGAACAAGCTGGGTATTGGTTAGTCTCATTATGTATAATGCCAACGCATATCCTCAGTTCATCAGTACAATACGTATCGGATATAATATATAGATAAACCAATAGGCGTATACTACAGTCATGTCAAGATCAAGCGTTATTAAGGTTAGTTCCATTATGTTTTAATGACAGTCTTCCGATCGTTCAGTACAGTAATTATATCCAGTGTAGACTCAACCGTTATCCGTATATAATTATAAAAGCCATATCAAGAATTTAATTGGTGAATCATTACTGCTAGTATCAAAAATCTGTTTATTCGAGGTGCAGCTTCACCCGATTGTTGTATACATAATGTCATAATTAATGCCTTAATATTGCTCGTATTATCATGTTTCTTGTCAGTGGGTGAGTGAGTGTAGGATTACGCTACTTGTAGCAATATAACTAGCAATAGCACGGGTTAAGACGCCAGAACATTGTAATCGAACAATCTAACGCGGCACAATGGAGTGACCAGCAGACACTTTAACATCTGGCCATAGCCTACTCCACTGTCCCTTTTAATGGACAAAAGTTATATATGTACAAATTGTATGTGTATCCGATATACAAATTCAGCCGTTTGTCGTGTATGTTAGTCCTAATTTATGCATTTTAATTATTAGTATTATTATATTTTAATGAGAATGGATATTAAGCATCGAATAAATCAATCCTTTCTGGCCTATCTTTAGAGTGGTGTTCCTGTGTTGTCTCTCGGGACCATAGCAAAGAATAAATATATTTACTATTTGCTTGTCCTAGGCTTCGATTTATTGACATTTTGTATTATCTAAGATAACACGTCACTCGGTAGTGGGTATCTCCTACAAACGAGGGCGAAATTACCCCGTCCACGCTCAAAATACACCTCCTTATATCAACAGCTCTACTCGTCTGGAAAATTGCGATTTTGTGTTTTGTATATTTCCTTAACTACGGGTAGCTGACTCGCAGTAGGAAGAGCTTAAGAGGAATCGTGTCTGGGTATCAGATTTTCGAGGCAGATCGGTGGATGTTTATATAATTACTCGTTCATGCTTTAAGACAATGTTGCTATAAAATGGCGAAATCAATCCTTAAGATATTGACCTAGCGAGGATTGATCATCTGGTAATATCACAACAGCTATTTAAACACTGGCAATCTCGAATACGTTCATTCATAATTCATACTATACAAATCAATCTTTTTGCTGTGTTTTAGTGGACGTGTGGTATTGTACACATCTAGACTCGGATATACCTTTACGGTGTAATTGCTATATGATTTTAAGAAGAAGAAGAATATGCAATGAATTTAATGAGACTGTCCAACACATTTGCAGTGGAAGCCCAGCTTTGGCACAAACACAGTGTCTTAAGCGTCATGATGGAGTGTCTCGATCATTTTATTACCGTCTTCGCAATGCTTGTGAGGTCCATCCGTGGTTCGACTCAGAATATGTAGAGGGCGTCATGGAAAATGATAAATACAAAATTCTTTGGAATAAGCCCGTATACAGCCTCAGGCGAATCCAGTCCAACAAACCTGATCTTGTCCTTTTTGATAAATCCAATGAAAACATTTATATCATTAAATTTTCTGTCCCTTTTGGCACTAAGGTGATTGACAAGATTCAAGAAAAACAGGGCAAGTATATGCAGACCTCGCTTTCGAAATGTCACGCTTGCATCCCAAGTACCAAGTTGTCCGACTCTCCATTGTTCTCCATGCCTTAGGTTTGGCACCTCCCAATCTGTTGACTAACATTGGGAGAGTACAATGGGTTTGCTGCCAGGAATACAGCCATTCTGATAATCTGGATACTGCAGGAGGCTGCAGTGTTTTGGAGTCATCACATTATTCGAAAAGTTCTGGGTGTGTTCGACTTGGCAGCGCTTCCTGGGAGTAGTCCCATTCGCTGTCTGGGCTGCGTGTAGAGGGGGCAAGGGCCCTGAGCTGATGATGAGTCTAACCGGCCTGACTGTGACAGGATCACCCAAACCCTATTTGCTACATTTTATTTAATAATAATAATGATAATAATAATAATAATAATAATAATAATAATAATAATAATAATAATAATAATAATAATAACCATGAAAAAAGGATCAGAGTGTACTCATATTACACTCTGAACTGGACAACTTTGCTAGAATTTTAAAAAAAGTCAAATTACCATCTCACCCAAGCAGGTACCCATTGACAACTGAACAGAGGCTTGTTATTGAACAAGGTTACTCTTCTTAGTAAACACCACTCATGTTATAACCTGTAGTGCAATTTCACTTTTAGTAGTAGTCAAGCTTGGCGACCGCGGTTACCCATCCATCTAGTTTCCGCCGCCTTGATTAACTTCACCTGACTTGTGACCTGTATACACACTATACGCCCATCCTTTGTGCACGAATTGATTAAAACGGCGTATACCTTACATTTACTCTCTCAATGCACATGACTGTACAAGGTGCACGATCTCATTTCCTTAGTTTGCGCATGTATAAAGTGTACCTTGATTGGTAAAACATAATAATGTAAATTGTGAACGCCAGAGAATAGCCAGTCTCGATTATCCCCCGAAACAGTTTCCATTGTGCGCAAAACATGCAGAATAGCGGTGGAAATGATATGAATGGATCAGTAAAAATCAGTAATAACACCAGCTGTCGCTAAAGGGGTAAGCATGTCCTACCCTTTGAGGACCGGTAGCCATAAAAAAACCCGTATGGCTTAACTAAGGGAGTTTACCTGATCATTAGGCGAAAGAAAATCCAAATATATTTATTGACTCATTTTACACACTAATTGATTTTGCAGGGCAGTTGCAATCAAATACTAGTCTATTTTAGACTGTCACATGCATTACCCTTTCAATGTGCGCATCAGTGGATGAGGTCATGTATGTTGATATATAAATCTGAAATACGTTGCGAATTTATACGTTTGTCTTAAAAAAGAGTGAAAACGAATTATTTCTCCTCAGAAACTGTTGTAAGATGTTCTGTTCAATTGCAGTATTTGTTTCAACATTATATCAGGAGAGTACGCGAGAATAATAAATAATTGTATTCCAATGCAAACTATGGTCACCTGGCATACATTCGATAGCAGTGTCGATAGTTAGTTTCATGTGCGAAAAATATTGAAAGTAGCTATTTTGAAATCCATAAATTGTTGTGATGAACACTTGTATTGACATCTGCGTCAACATAGCGCTTGTGCAAGTGACAGATCTAAGCCTTCCATTTCAGCTGATACAGCAACCTGGTCACACAATAATACCGCGATTTGAATAGTAATTCCGTTTTATCGGGAAAATGAAAGCAACAAAACCCTTTCGATGTTCTTGAAACATCTGCGCCTGAGTTTTGCAGGTCTCAGACGTTTACCCCTTCGGTGAACCCTGCGAGCACGCCATGGCACTGACATACATAGAATCATAATCAAACGGAACCACGGAACCGGGATTCGAACCCATTATTACACATGTCGAGCACAATCTATAGACGCAGGTTTTCGCGCACAACCTATTGACGCAAGTCTTCGCGCCGCCGTTTCAGTTAGAAAGCGCAAGGGTAATATGCATTGCTATATCTAAAATACCTCGGTGTACTCGAACGTTGTTTTAATGTGTGAAATACTAACTGAAGCTACATTCCATCCCCTACTTGGTTCGATGCCGAACTCAATTGAAAAAAAATAATAAATCGTTTTGGTCAATAACATTTCAATATATGAGCGTTCATTTAACACGGCCTTCAAGTTGATGTTAATAAACTCGTGAATAGTAATGTGACTGCGCAATACTTGTTGGGAGGTGGGATAGTCTAGAGTGGGCGAGTGAGTTACGTTTAACGTCGCTTGTAACAGAATTTCAGGCATATTACAGCTTAATATAGGCTGAGACCCCGAAGTGATACAGGGATAAGACGTTTATACTTGATGAAACCTGTGAACACGGGTATGGTGCTGACAAACCTAGAAACAATCGGGACGAACCGGGATTGTGAACCCACGATCATAGGTTTCTGGCGTGCCCAAGGGGCGCAAATCTGCACAGCGGTAAATGGAGCCTTAAACGACTCTCTGTGTCTCTGTGTCTGCCTCTGTGTACGTCTGTGTTTACGTGTCTGAAACATGCATGAGTACATTGCAATGTCTGCAACATACTGATAATTTGTAAGGTTGATATTATTACTTCGGTCACTGCTCAAAGATATCCTATTGCTTTCTCTAAAGGGAAGTGTCAAACAATTTGTGTTTCGGTACAACATTGTTTTTTGACCACCAGGATATCACTCACTTGTATAATAGAATGCTGCCATATCAAACGTTAGCCTATCAAATCTCACCAAAAGATATGAATCACAGCTATTAAAGATATGGGTTTGATATTTTGTAACTGTATATTGATACCGATTAATTGTATTGATTTCATGGATTAGTCACGCAATGCATAGTTTGTATTGATTGCCAATAACAGTTGTGATGACCAATGACACAACAGAGACTTGTTGATTGACAATGCATTATCACCTGATTTTGTTTACAACAATAAATCTGGCAATTATTTTGTAAACAATATCAGG